TGGCTGGAGCGGGAGGGGTCGACTTCTTCCCCTTGCCCTTCCCCTTGCCCTTCCCCTTTCTCACCACGGTGGCCCAGGTGTCTTCTTGCGAGGCAGCGGGGCGACTCGGCCCGGCCACCGGCAGAGGAGCTGGTGCAGCCGCTGGTGCAGGCGTAGGCGGCCGCACAGGTGCCGCGGCCTTGCCCTTGCCCTTACCTTTGCCCTTTGGCGCTGCGCGCCGCAGAACCCTGTCCTGCCACTGCCGCCGCCGGCGCTGGCGCTTCCCTCGGGGGGGAAGATCTCGGAGCAGGGCTCGGGGGAACCACTGGCACCGCCGCCTCGCGACGCCTATCTGCCGCAAGTGGGGGACGCATTGTCTTCGCCGGGAGAAGGCGCTCCTCGATCCCGGCAAAGCGGGCATCTATCAGCGTCCCTACCGAGGCGACAATGGAGGCGCGTATCTCCTCCAGCCAGTCCCCCGCGAAGGTGTCCGAGGGACCGGCTTTGGTGGCAGACAGCTCCTTCCTGAGCTCGCAAAATTCGCGACGGTGCGCTTTTAGCTCCGCTTTCAGCCCTTCCGTCTCTCGACGAAGGCGGGCATTGTCCTTTTTGAGGTTCTGAACCTCATCCGCCACCGTGCGCCCCTGCCAGCGCATCCACAACCTTCTGCAGCGTGGCGGCAGACTCCTTCAACGCCTTTACCATCGTTCCCTTCAGGTTGGACGACTTCTGAGCCAACCTCTATCACTGCCGGCCACGCTCTTACTGGCGAGCTCCCTGAGTTCGTCGGCCGTCTGTTCGGCTGGTCCTTTCTGACCGGGGCCTCAGACGCCGACGCCTCAGAATCCGTTGGCACAGATGTTCCAGCTTACGGACCTTGGGTGCGCTTGAGCCCGCCTTAACATAAACACGCTGGTTCAAGCGCATCTCAAATTCCGCCTCTCTCGCTTCTTCTTCCATGTTCTCGAGCTCACGTCGTGCACGAGCGATACCAGTACCTCCCGTACCTGGTTTACCCCCTTCTTTTCTCGCCTTCGCCTTTCTGGCGCTGACCGTCCTTTCAGTCTCAGTGTCCGAGCTGGACGAGATCGCCATAGTCTTTTGGGGCCTTTTACGCCCCACCGAAGTGTCCGTAAAACACCCTTCCGATTCGCTTCCCTCCGAAGCCAAATCAACTACGCCAAAAACTGGCTCATTCGTCACACCGCCTGTCACAGGCTCCACATCAAAGATTTTAGTTTTAGTTTTATTTAAGAGTCCATAATTAGATCCCCCGAGTATGGGGGAAATACTCCGTCCATCCGTGTGGTGCCCCCGGCACCCGGATAAGCCTTCAATAACCCGCCCAGAGTGTCGGCCGGTACTCTGGCGGGGGAAGCAGTAGGGACCGATCTTCCCATCGGCCACGCATCCCCTCGCGCTGCTTCTCCGCTTGGGATTGGGGTAATTTTTTAGAGAGGTTTTCTTCCTCGCAGCCCGGGCGGTTTAAGCCAAGGCCCTCGTTCCCAGTCCCGGCCGCTAGACGTGATCAACGACACCAGGAACCGGGATTACGAGTTGAGGGGGGGGTGCACCCTGGTGCATGTCCGGCTGCGCAATTAAGCACCCGCCGGACCCGCCCCACCTCGCGCTTTTCTGTCAGGGTGTGCTCCCTTAGGCCGTGGGGTTAACAAACCCCTAAAGGCACGCCCATGCCTGCTGGTTTTGGTCCGCGCCGGTCGAGACCGGTACCACCAATGTGGTGGCATTCCCCTATCCGCCACCCGGGGACGCGCCCAGTAGCAGTCGCAGCAACTGCCCTGAGAACCTAACCTAAACCTAACCTAACCTAACCTAACCTAACCTAACCTAACCTAACCTAACCTAACCTAACCTAACCTAACCTAACCTAACCTAACCTAACCTAACCTAACCTAACCTAACCTAACCTAACCTAACCTAACCTAACCTAACCTAACCTAACCTAACCTAACCTAACCTAACATGAGTCCCGCTCGACCAACCGGGAGCGAACGGACACGCTCACCGCGTCGGCAAACAGTGCTCCGGTCGAAGAAAGCGGCGTTTAAAAACTTTAAACATCGCTAAAAAAATAGAAAAAATACTGAAAATTTGCTAAAAACTGTGAAATATAGTGTATTAAGTGTCCAAACGTGTAAATATATAACAATAGTGACAAAATTGTGCACGGAATTAGCCAAAATTTGGCAAAAAGTGATAAACTTAGACATTTTTAAACTGTTTTCGCGTGCGCCGCTCGATCTAGATCGACAACGTACCAATTTTATTTGTGCGTTTTAAAAGTGCTCTTCTAAGACCTATCCAACGACACCACTCCCGGAATTTTTGGACACCGGAGTGGTCAAAAAGCTCAAAAAACAAGTTTGCCGGATTCTCTCTTTCCCAAACGGAGAGAGACAGAGACTTTCAACCACCACTACTGGAAAGAGCAGGACGCGCCGATCACAGAAAGGTATCGTGCATAGCCGTAACTAAAACAGTGACAAAGATTATAGACTTTTTAAAATTTCGTAAAAAATTGACAAACTTCGGAGGAAGATAAAAAAATTATTTTCAGTGACGACCCCTGTAAAAATTTATTGAAAAGTGAAGAGCAACTCTCCTAGTTCTTTATAGTGAAAACCGCAATAAAATCCGTTCAGTAGTTTTTAAGATATTAAGCAATCTAGATCATAAGGTAAAAAGTGTATATTAAAATATTTAAAGTAAAAATTTTACATTAACTTTAATACATATTACATACTACGGGTTTGCTTCCTATTAAAATATAAAATAAACTGTCACATTTAAAGTTTTTCGAATAATATAAAATTAACTAATAGTTAAAAGTAGCACTTAGATAATATAGAATATAAATAAAAATTCCAAATTTCAATAAATCAATTTAACTTAGTAAAAATATTGATAAAAATTCTCCACGAACAAATTTTGTTCAACTGATTTTTACTATACGGAGCCGGGCGGAGCTAAAAGTGTTGATATACATAGAGTACTTGCCTCCTGGCTCCGCTTGCAAATAAAAATATTTAAAAATTAAAAATTTCTTCAAAATTTATTAAAATTAAAATCATATTGGGACTTCAAAATTGATACCAACCAACTATTCGAAATCAAAATCTAATAAAACATTTTTTACATATATAAAATTAATACTAATATATTCAACAAACAGACAAGTTGGACAAAGTTTGTTCATTGTATATGCTGGGTGGAGACTAAAAAGTGTATAAAGCTAGGATTGGTGGAACAAAAATGCATATAGATTTGTAGATTGTTCCCATTGGCTGTAGATTGCTCCATTGGTCGAAGACAAATTAGTTAAGTTAGAGCTGGACTTTAGATTAAGTATTTTTAAGATAACTTGAACCTTAGGTTCATACATATAAGACCATAGAAAAGTATATTTTTATTAAATTAAATATTAAACTTCCTAATTTTACGGAACTTATCTATAATAACTTGGACTTTATTGCAAAGTCTTAAAGTCGTGTTTGACCTACATAAATCGAACCTGCAACAACAGCTTACAACCACTGACCCATAAGGGACTTCACTTAGAAAATTATCCACAACAGATCCCCTCATCCCTGCGACTCATACCCCGCACCCCTTCAAGCCATTTCCCCCTTTCACCCCTTCGACTCATACCCCGCACCCCTCAGACTTACCGACTACACCGCGTATTACGCCACATTCCCCTCCCCCCCCCTTGCCTTTATCACCCTCACCCCTTACATACCCGGACCCTACATAGAACCTTATAATAATCAAATATATCAAACCCAAGACTTCTCTAAATTTAATCACTGAGCCATAAGCAACAATAACATAGAACCTTGTAACACTAATAAACATAGAACTTTGTAACAATTAAATCGAACTTAGAAAATTTTTAGATTTCACCACTGAGCCATAGGGGTATTAACATAGAACTTTGTTATAATTAAATAAAATTGAATTCGTGACTATAAGAATACAACCACTGCACTATAGGGACAGGGGACTTTAGAAAAATTTTTGTCTTTTGTACCCCCCCCCCCCAAAGTTGGGATTCTTATAACTCCGTCCCTGTCCACCCTAGCTTGCCCACTCTTGGGTATTAGGCATCACCCCCCACCCCCCGAAAGACCCCCAACACCCCCAAAGACCCCCAAGGCTACCCACGAGACCTACCCCTCCCCCCCCCCTCGCCCACGCCCACCACCCCCCCTCTACTTAAAATCGCTATAACTCCTAAACTATTAAACCGATTTTGACGAAATTGGTGTCGGGCGACAGGTATTTGAAAACCCCTTCCAGGACCCCTAGAACAAAATTTTTATCCAACCCCCATTTTAAATAAAACCCAAAAAAACCCCTTTTAAAAAAATCCCACTCCTACGATTTGGGAATAAGAAATATATATAACAGACAGACCTGTGACAGACCCTAACCAAAATTAAAAATACTAAATTTCCCCTAAACAACCCCGTAAAACCCCAAAACCTAAACTTTTGCCCAACTCTGTCAAAAACTGACCTACGGACCCCGAGTTTGGGCTCATTTTAAAGGTTCTCGGCAAGCCCTACAACCCCCCATCCTCAGATCCCGAATACCTCCCCCCCCCCCTTGAAAAATTAGAAAAATATACTTTTTACTTAAAAAATTGATCCCATCTACAAGGTTCATAGCCCTTGTAAACACTGTAGTAGTATAAGATTGATATATTCCAATTGGAAATAACTTAAATTAAAATAAGATAGTTTTAACAAGAAATAAGACAGCGGACTTATACACCGCACATACTATTAGTAACTACAGATCGACTCTGAGCCCTTTACACTCAAAATTACTAGTTTTAAAATAAGACGAGAGCCGGACTCTAACAAACATGCACTAGGACACCTCCCAAAACCTCCAAACCGCCAGCGGTCAAGGCGAAAACCGCCAAACCACAAGCCACGTCAAGTAAGACTGTCAAAACAACAGCAACGACATCACCGTCGCCATCAAAAATATCAATGCCATCACCTCTAGCCCTACCCCTACCCCCTAATATAACAAAATTAATTAGAGAAAAATCAGAAATCTTACCTCCCAAAGAAGTACTAGATGACAGAGCAGAAGAACATTATAGAATAATATTAGAAAACATAAACGACTCAAAAAATATAAAAACGACCATCAGAGAAAATATAGCACTTCATGCGAAAAAATTATACTACATGGTGAATTCAATAAACTGTGAAATGACAGAACTAGCTAGAGAGATACTAGCGGCGGTGATGGAACGACTTGACCAGGCACGCCAAACAAACAGACACAAGAAATGACGGAATTTAACAAAAAGATAGAAAAACAAATGGAACAAGTGATAATACAAAATTTAGACTTAAAGAACGAAATCATGGATTTAAAAGCAGAAATAAAAGAAATTAAGGAGGAAAAAAGCAAAACCGAACTGATGGAGGAACTACAGAAACAGAACATAGCAACCGAAAAAACCGCAAAAAGACATACAAGAAATGAAAGAAGATATCAAGGCAATACCAATCTCACAACCAACACCAACAGAGAAGCCAAATACGACACCACAATCCTACTCTCAGGCACTTCAACAACCTTCGCTACCAAAACCGACCCTCTGCCTACTCGTAGGTACGGACAACGTAAATGATACTAGCGAAGAGGTGCTAACGAAGATCAAAACTACGTTGAATGCGAGAGATACCGGACTCCAGATATCAAAGTTGAGGAAGGTAAAGGACCAGAAAGTGCTCATTGGTTGTGAGAAGAAGAAGACATCGAAAGCATACGGGAGAAACTTGAAAGGAAAAAATTTAATGTAGAAACAAAAGCAAACAAGGACCCTTTAGTAATAATTAGAAATGTTAATAATAGCAACACGGATGAAGACATTCTACAGTCACTGGAAAAACAAAATTATGAACTTCTAGACCACATACCAACAGAGGAATACAGGATGAAGGTCAGGCATAGACGAAGGGCGAGAAACCCGATGGAGACACACGTAGTACTGGAAGTAATCCCCAAAAGTATGGAGAGCATTAACAACAGCTGGGAAGGTCTACGTGGATATCCAAAGGGTGCCCGTGTTCGACCTGTCCCCACTGGTGCAGTGCTCGCGCTGCTTGGGCATTCGGACATGGGAAAAAATGGTGCACAGATAGTATTGATCTGTGCAGCCATTGTTCAGGACCTCATCTCCGTACCGAATGTCCAAGTTTGCAGGCAGGCGAGGAGCCTACATGCAAAAACTGCCTGCACGCAAAATGCGCCAAAACCGATCATAACAGCTTCGACGTGCACTGCCCAGTGAGGAAAAAGTGGGACGACTTAGCCCGCTCGAGTGTAGCATACTGCTAAAGATACAAATAAAAGCCCACACACACGCATCAGACCTAATAAGCAGGTATAATGAGAATACCACGGAGCAAGATTATCTTACCCCGCAGCAAGAGTCGGAAAAGCAAATAGTTACCCACCACTGAAAACATGCAAATCAAACCTGAAGATTTGAAGAGCAATGTTAACCAGACGGCACAAAACATCACAATAGAACTTAAGCACAAAACAAGTAAAAAACCAAACAGTACTGAAGAAAAAAAAAAAAAAAAAAAAAAAAAAAAAAAAAAAAAAAAAAAAAAAAAAAAAAAAAAAAAAAAAAAAACCAGTACTTACCTTTAGTAGATAAAATAATCAGTAAGAAACTAGTATATATAAATATTGTAAAGCAATATTTCATAAGTATACTTAATAAAGTAATAGCAATTAGAATAAATAGGCACTTACCTTCAAACTGTACTCTCTGGCAAAAAAAAAAAAAAAAAAAAAAAAAAAAAAAAAAAAAAAAAAAAAAAAAAAAAACATCTGTAATAAATATATAATACCTATTAAATAAGTAAATTAGAAAGCAATGCCATAAATACATTAAGAATAAAGGCAAACAAATTAGTATATAAGAAATGTAAATAGAATAATAGAAATAAATACTTATACTCTAACAAATAACACATAGTAATAAAATTGTAAAACCATATATAATAGGAAATTAATAGTAAAAAATTGTATGTAAAGAACAAAAGTTCTCTCCCATCTAAACAAGTATTGTAATAAGCAATGTAGAAAATCACCTAAAAATTAAGTCTTCCAAATTGTAAATAAATCCCAATTGTAAAAAAGGTTTCTGACCCTCATGTCAGAAGAGTTCCGGCTTAAATTAAAAAAAAAAAAAAAAAAAAAAACCTAACCTAACCTAACCTAACCTAACCTAACCTAACCTAACCTAACCTAACCTAACCTAACCTAACCTAACCTAACCTAACCTAACCTAACCTAACCTAACCTAACCTAACCTAACCTAACCTAACCTAACCTAACCTAACCTAACCTAACCTAACCTAACCTAACCTAACCTAACCTAACCTAACCTACCTAACCTAACCTAACCTAACCTAACCTAACCTAACCTAACCTAACCTAACCTAACCTAACCTAACC